CATTTCACCGACAAGTTAATTTCCCATAATTCCTCTAACCCTAACCCTAATTCTAATGGTAATAATGTTGGTGAAATGAGCTGTCGGTGAAATAAGTTGTCTACGAATTGGTTGTCTGTGAAACATACATGTCGGTGAATTGATTGTCTGAAATGTTGTCTATGAAATGAGTGTCAGTAAAATTAGCTGAACCGATATCATGGTTACACGAAAAAACAAACAAAATTTATACGTAAATATTACGTACGTACCAATATTTTACTATTATGCAAATTAATAATATATCGATATTACTACGTATTGCGCAAATTAATAATATATGCAAATTACAATATAGTATAATATTATACGAGGTCATGATTCTGAAAGCATTAAATTCTAACATTAAGCAAGCAATTCTTATGTAAAGAGTTAAATATACGTAAATAAAACAGTTAATTAATAGCTGTATAAAGTCATTAAATATAAAATTTAGAGCCCAAGATAACACTGTAGTATTTGTTATTACTATATTAGTTTTCCGAGCATTTACAATGGCTAGAGATACACACCTCGATTATTTTTGTTACTTTTCAGGTTTTATACCTTCCAGGTATTACTCAAATTATAGAGTTAGAGATATCACTCTTTGAAATATTATATATTACTTGTATATTAAATGAAATTTTAATCTCAAAATTATCTCAGTACATTATATTACTAATACTGTATTACAAATAGTTTATAATGTTATTGCTGTGTTGCGTTAGAGTAATACGAATAGTAGTGGTGTATAGTATACTTTTTACCCGAAACCTTTTTGCTAAAATCCGAAAGTTTCGGGTTTCTGATTATACTTTCCGAAACCTTTCCGAAACCCGAAACCTCTCCCGAAACCTGAAATCTCTTCCGAAACTTAAAACTCTTATCCGAAACTCTAATTATGCAGCACATTAATATTTTTATATTTGCTAAAAAATTTTTGCTCGATCACACTCGTATTTTAATACCTGTTTATATCGGAACCTTTAAGAACCGATTTTTCACTGCTTGTCATGTGACACATAACACCAATCATAGGTGTTACAAATCCGAAACTAGTTTCGGATTAGTACTTCCCGAAACTATTTTCGGGAGGTTTCGTTTCGGGTAACATGTATAGTGTATGGTAAAGCAAAGTAATGTTGTATAATACATTAAACAAGTAAACACGTGTGTATGGTTGATGTGTATAGTATGATTATAAAATTTATACAAATGCGACGCTAAAGAAAACTTAAGAAGGGTGTGAGCAATCATTTATGTGACTAATGATTGGTCACACTCAAATATTTGAATCAAATATTTGAGGGAGTGACCAATCCTAGTGATGAATAAGCATTTTCTATGTAAAATATATAGCAAATGTTTATTAGTCACAGCAATAATTGCTCACACTCTATACACCGAACCGAGTGTCCCAGGATTTATGAAAATAGCCAAAGTCTAAAATGACCGTTAAATGGTAAAAACGAAAAACATATTAAAGTAATGCGAGCACTTTTTAGACTTTATAAAGACTTTTAAGATTATTTTATTTTATTAAGTTTCTAAGGAATATATATATATATATACAGTATATATGATGATCGTAGCAATTATTTTTCTCTTTTTAAATCGTCTTTACAAATTTTATTTTATCAATAAAATAATCAAAGAAAATAATTCTCTTAGTGATAGTTTTAATAACGATTTCAGGGAAAATATTTTTTTTACAGAAAATGATTATTATAATGAAAATTTTAAATTTTAATACCAGAACCTGATACAGAAAGTTCGAAAATATTTCTTACTAAGAATTTTAACTGCTAAAGAAAGGATCAGTACTCGTAAAACTTTAAAACAACATGTGTAAAATCCCGTATAAAATTTGATTTTGTGAGAGCAATTCGTACAATTCCGTAAAAAAACTTAATTTTGTAAGAGCGATGCCATAAAAATCTTTATTTTTGTTAACCATGTGATAAATTTCTATCGAATTTCAACTTGAGGGGTGACCAATTATCATGTGACTAATAAGAATTGGTTATATAAAATATATAGCCAATTCTTATCATCACACGACAATTGGTCACACCCTCTCTCAAGTATTTGAACTTCAACGAAGGTCACATTATATATATATATTATATGAGTATAGTCAAATGCGATTTTTTTTGTAGTATACTCGTAATACCGATTGCGTTATCGTAATATGTTGTTTTGATAGTTAATAGGTATTGATTTAACACGTGTGAAATTTCAAAACACGATCCCAAAAACGAATTAAATTTAGGAGGTATGAAAAAATAGATTATTTTGATGCGTAAAATTTTAAGACGTGTTTGTTTTGATCGCAGATCTTCAATAATATTGATCCTGAATTACAAAGGTTTATAAACCTTTCCATAATATATTGTTAATTTTATTGATTATCTTTATGTATGTTAATTGTTTCATATTTATTTTATAGTATTCCCCTTCTTGGCCTGTTTACCCTTGATGTGAGCATTTCCTATTTAATTGTATTCATCTTAATTAATTAATTTACTTTATATTAACTGCATTTTATTTCTTAGCATATGTCCTACGAGATAGACCGTATTCCCACTGTTGAACCTTCTCTTAGAGAAATGTCTGAAAAAGCAATTCGAATTCTTGAAGCACAAACCGCTAATAGTGATAGAGGCTCCTTTCTTATGATCGAAGGCAGTCGAATCGGTAAAATATTTTTGCCCAAATAGTTTATGTTAAAATTATATTAAAGTGTTTAATTAATCTTTTTTTTTTTTTTTTTTGTTTTTTTTTGCGTATATTATGAATACTTTATAAAGACATGGCTGGCCACTCGTAAGTAATAAATAGAGTAATGAAAATTCAAAATCCAGGATAATTCAATTAAAAATTTTCTGCAATTCTTTTTTAATAGAAACGATCCAGGTACACATGTTCATGAAATATTGGCTTATAATGAGGTAATTGATTTTGTTAGCAGTTATGTGGATGATCATCCAGGAACAGTTCTCATATCGGTAATTTATTTTCTATATAAATGGAAAAAATATTAAAGATTGGACCCGTTGAGAAAATTTTTAACCGGGTATTATTAAATTAACCGGGTAATTACTATATGTATCGGGTAACAATATAACAGCAATTTTTACCTGGGTCCAATCCTTATTGAAAAACATCTGTCATACGTGACTTTATAAGTAACTTTTCGACGATTAACATATATCATCGGATAATTTTTTTCATTACAATTAATTTATATTATACAATGACGTATTTGAACAGGTTAGTGATCATGAAACTGGTGGCCTATCTCTCGCTTTACAAACGAATTCATCCTCCTACCCTAAATATCCATGTTAAGATCATTTTGATTTTTCGCATCACTTTATTGTTTATGTTATTAAATATATTATTGATTATATTAGGTATCCTGATGTAATATCCTGTATAAAAAATTCTTCATATGTTTTGTCTGTGAAATTAAGTGACTTTTGGAACAGCGATCGAACTAAATACGTAAAAGATACCGTTTTACTTAATGGTCTTGGAATTTATGATTTTACTGATGAAGAAATAGATTTCTTGATTGCAAATCATACTAAACAAGAATATGAATATTATATGGCTAACTTGACAAGTTGGAGAGCTCAAATAGGGGTGATTAACATATCTCACTTTTAACGAGATGATAATCCTGACTTTTATCTTATTGATGAATATAGTGGGCAACACATGGTCATTCAGCTGTTGATGTTAATCTTTACGCCCATGGAATAAAGACGAGAGCATTACGTGGAAATCACAAAGTAATTTATATTGATCATGTAGTAAGTGTAAAATTTATTGCAAAGATTAAATGTTTACGAAACTTAAATTTTACTGTTGTGACTAATCTAGAAATCACTTTCAGGACCATTTTTGTCACTGAGACGCGATGACACTAAAAAATTTATTCAAAACGTTCTGGTTGTATTTCGTAGTGGAATATTAAATCCAGTTCGTTCTAAAGAATAATAATTCTAGTTTAAAATCAAATTAAATCCATGTTATTTAAAGCAATCATTTCGATTTTTTTTTTTTTTTTTATATTTTTCAGGCAAATGATTTTTTTTTTCGACATTATTTGAAATATATCTTAAAAGTAACTTTATTGTGAAATCGATAATTATTTAAAATTTTCAAAACATATCAATACATTTTAAAAAGAAAAAAAAATTATTTAAAAATTCGTAGAATATGGTATAAAAATTTATATTTTTTTAATATTAAAAAGCTAAAACCAAATCCTAACTAATTCATGCCAAGTTAAATAAAATTTCCTCGTCATAATAATAAGTAAAACCGGTAAAGAAACATGCTACTTGTAATTTCGCAAGTCACTTAACGAATTGTGCGGGTACAAAAGCCATAAAGAGAAAGTTGAAGCAATAATAAATTTATCTAGTCAAATAATTTAATTAGTGATACGTATTAAAATAAAACGTTGCAACTATTAAAAAAAGAAGATACTAATCTTAAAGGAAAAGGTCGAAGAAAATTTCTAAAAAAATATAATTACTTTAATTATATAAATAAAAAAAATAGCTTATTAGTATATTTTATTAAAATCAATTACCATTGCATCTTCATGGTGTAGTGGTAAGTTTGTTGTTTCTTAATAATCGGTTCCAGGTTCAATACCTGGTCGATAAAATATTCGAATAATTAATATTCGAAATGTATGTGAGTTGTGTTACCGAAGATCATAACTATAACTATAGTTATAATCCTGTAAAGCACAACGTCACAGTTTAGTCTACCTCTAATTTGTTTGTGGGTTTTTTTTTACTCAAATAATATATTCGTACAGTACTTTTAAATGTCAGGTAAGGGTGCGCAAAGTTTGCCAACCATATCCGTCTCGGACCGTTGGTAGCGAGTGTGGGTTTATAACTATTTTCCAACTGCTACCGTTGATACCGAGACGGTATGGAAGGCGAAAAAGAGAAAAATCGCAATTACCATTATCCAAAAGTCTGTATATTACTTGAGATAAAGTGTAAATTTAGAGGACGTTAAAGATCGTTAGTAAAAAATTATGATCCTTATATATCTTATTGAAGATCTGCGATCAAAACAAACACGTCTTAAAATTTTACGCATCAAAATAATCTATTTTTTCATACCTCCT